GTAAGGTGTGGGGAATGTCATAGACGGTCCAAACGTGTCAATTAAATACTATTTAGAGACATGGGAAATACTGACCACTGCGTTTGACATTTCTTTTTAGCAATGGTTTGTTATATGAAAGTGTGATAGACTGGCAATTTATATTTTATCTTTTCCTCGTATCATGTGTGATCCAAATAATACCACATTAACGGGACTGATTGAAAAGTCCAATTTATTGTGATGAAGTCGCTGGCATGACTGAGAAGTTTAAATAATGCACAAAAGAAAAATTCAGGAATGATTATTGTTCATTCAGACCTTATTTTTTAATCTAAACTTTCGCGAATTTTCCATGGACCATTTTTTTACTGAGGTTGCATTATTCAAAGACTAGTGTCCATCGGTATGTCTAAGTATTGTAGATTATGTGATTAAAGGTGCATCCTCAAATATATAATTTCTATAGCATCCCTAAAGTTATCTCTGCCATGCATTTGACATTATGAACATTTTTACTGGAGTATAATATTGACATACCAATGTTTATTTATCTAAGTACGTGTAAACTGTCCTAAATATATTTACCTCCTACTCGTTCCTGTATTGCGTACTTTCAGTGTTAATAACGTGACAATATCGTAATGTAGTGTTCTGGGGTTATGACTCCTACACGAATAGATGCCAGCACAGGTACACCCCACAGGTGTTCATCCAGGTAACCTAGTCAATCGAGGTGAGGGTTTTTTGTAGCAAACTCAGTACATGAGACTCTTTAAGATGTCAGATTGTATCTATAGACACAACTTCTTTTTCAAGTACATGGTTTATCTTGGATCAAGTATTGTTTCGTTTTAAGTTGAAGCATAGAAATTGATTGGTTCCAATTATGAGACCAACGGCAAAGTATACTGCGACTGTGTTTAACCAACTCGAGTACAACCCGCAACTGTGTCTACGAAAAAACTATTTAGCAAAAGGACAATATAAATACCATGCACTCAATAGGTCTTTGGAATTTCTTGTGATTAATTCGTTGGGACAATTTTGGTTACATAAACGAACTAAAATGAATGGAAGTATTCTAGTGACTAATTGAACTAAAAAGAAATTAGGTCGTTAATGGATATGAACTTTTACTGCCATCACTTCCGGCCCCGTGTACAGGTGCGTCACGGTAGGTATCCCCGACAGCCTCTCAGCTCCAGGTTAGTGTAACTGTTGAGCATGCTATATCGACACGTCTACAGGTGAAATGGGGACGTTCCTCTAGTAGACCTGCACTACACAGGGATTTAATCGTATTGCACTCGGAATCAACAGACATGCTCCGTTGCCCTTGTAATTGTGTGTATCCACCTTAACAGGCCAATATATAACAGAACAGACCTTTTGAAGTGTTCTAATCCAAATTTTATCTCAATATTCACTTGTTATCTCAATAAAGATTAAAAGTCAGGAGAAGAAGATGTATTTTATATTGAATACAATATCCAGTACATTTGTGTTTGGGATGTTCAATCGTAAATCAAACACTAAGACAGGCCTATTGTCTAGCGAGTGATCGGGTACATATCGGACGGGACCCTACAATCTGTACCGGTAATGTGAAGGCTGAACTAGTGGAAACTTTAAATAAGTTCAAGAAAAAATAACTTATAATATATACTTACAAGTTTGCGCCGCTGACTATATCTATTACAGATATTGATAAGTTCGACCTATTTCTGGTCAAGATCATTGCATATAAGCAAAAAGATGTCCCGTTATCCAATTATGTACATCTCATATTTGTACGAGTACATTATGTAATACATATGATTATTTCTCTTTTCATACTTCTCAGAGAATACTAAGCTAATGTGATGTCATTTCATTCCGGTAAATACCTTATGTATATATTTAAGCTTTTTGAAACAAAATATATTTTTAAAATAGTTAAGAAAGCATGTATAGCTCATGTGTGTGTATATGGACTTACGTTATGGTGATTCATAATGTAAAGTGGAAACTGGTGGCGGAAGTGGAACGAATATAAGCGTGGTCAACTAGTAATCAGTATATAAACAAGCAGCGTACACAGTCCGTGACCATGTGTTATATATATAATAATATTATAAATTACTTAATCACGCGCAGCAGCATTATCACCTCCACGTGTTAATAATAACACACTCCCTAATTGCTTTGTGATATTTTGAAGGAATTTATAACCGCTTTAAGACACTTTAAAAGTGCATGCAGCTTCTGAACGAAAAATACCAATTTAATTTTTCAGTTAATAATTAAGAGAACCGAGCGAGCAAGTTAGAATCCTAACCCTGTTCACTTTTCGTGAAGTGTCACTGTACAATCTCGCTAATTATGACGCTTACGACAATAGGGTCGTGAGCAAGGTGTCTAATATTGATCACGCTTCCGATTTTAATTTGAGCGATATCGATTGGGTGTTGGGCAACTAACGCCCCTGGCCAGTCTTCCTTGGAGACATTGTGGGCAAATTAGGGGCTATTATCACGGGTAAAGGGGCCGGCATTCCAGCACACATGTGTGACCACTCTCACACACCGTCAGCTGTGCAGCAGGCCCCCTCCTTTGTTGTGAGCCGCCGTGGTAGTAGACAGATGTGTACACACGCTCAAAGGGCAGTGTATGGATGAGACGTGGAGCGAACTAGAGTGCCGAACAGCTGCTCCATAGCTCTATTGTAAAGTACGGGAAACATACATGTGCTACATGTTTACACTCCTCTTACTACAGACCAGTGTGTACTGTTATAGTTCTCACGGATTTACAGAGCAGCTTACAGACAGACACTAGTTTATAAACACTTCTAGGATGAAATATTCTCCAGGTTCGTATGATTTGACGTGTTATTTGTCATGTCCATGCGTTTTATTACCGTGATGACGTGACCAAACAAATGGGGTACAATTTTATAACGTCAGTTGTAACACTGACTTAGATAGCAATCTAATTCCGTGGTTATAATAAGAGTCGAGTGTGCTTATTTTTTTTTCTCTCGAAAGTTAGAAAAGAAGTCTACGGTTAACAACAATTAGGAAAAGTAAAGCGATTGTATAGAAAAGATAAGTAACATTGTCGGCTCAAATAAAACGATGTTTTTGTTTTCAACTTACATCAGTGAATTTAAGTAGAGCAAAGGTAAACAAATACATTTCTTTTTTTTTTATCACAGGTTTAACTTTTATATGCAAATGATATCACATTTCTACTTTAGTTTTAAAACATCATTCCTTTTTATCCAATTCTAAACTTTAATTGTATTGTATTCAATTCCTAACACATGTCGACATTAGTTTGATCTGTGTTTTATTTCAAACTTAATGTATACTGTATTTTAACATTTCGATAAGACAATAATTACAGGAATAGAGCAAGCAACGAGTTGTCTCTGCCAACTTTTATAATTCAGCCTTTATGAAATACACTGTCTAGTTTGGAACAAACGTATATACTGAAACATGCATGTTATAATGGCAGATCGGAATGCTGTGGAAGTACAGATAGAATGGTCCATGAATGAACGGTTGACCGTTCTGTAACATATCGAGATAATTGTAATTCTTTAAACACGCACTTTTAACACGATATACTGTGTTGTAATTACGTACGTCAATGAAAATGTCTCTGTGTATTGTCTCACACTGATTGTCTGAAAGCCATCGCTGTAGATAGCTGTATAGTGTATCTTACGTATTTTAGTAGTAAGGCCCGGTGACGTTTCAGCGTGTAATACGTACCTTGTAGTATATTTTAGGAGTAAGGCCCGGTGACGTTTAAGCGTGAAATACGTACCTTGTAGTATATTTTAGGAGTAAGGCCCGGTGACGTTTTAGCGTGTAATACGTACCTTGTAGTGTATTTTAGGAGTAAGGCCCGGTGACGTTTCAGCGTGAAATACGTACCTTGTAGTATATAATAAGAATCCCAGTCACCACACGTCATTACTTACAGTCGTGACTAACATTTCATTTAATATGTGTTTTAATCCGAAATTACAGTGAAGATAATTGTAATATGTATTATTATAAGTTGGTGCATTCTCGGCCAAAACTAAAAAAGATTGATACATCGAAATTCTTTTGTCTAACTAACTAATGTTTAATAGATGTTGGTGTGTATTCCTAGCATGTACTAAGTCTGTCCTGTCTGTCCGATAAAGAAACTAACATGTACTAAGTCTGTCCTGTCTGTCCGTTATAGATGTTGGTGTGTATTCCTAACATGTACTAAGTCTGTCCTGTCTGTCCGATAAAGAAACTAACATGTGTATCAACTGGTATAATATTTTACCTCACAAAAATCCAGACATTTACACATCTTCGTTATATTAATGGGACATTTGATAAGTGACTTGCAGTAACTTTACTTTGTAAATTTTGGTGGTTATTGTTTCGGGAGCCAGGTCATGTCCTGTAACTATTTTGTGTGCAACGTTTCAAAGCTGGTTCTTCAACGCGGGATGCAAACTGGAATTTAAATATGACAGATTTTCAGTTTCCCCCACCCATTTTATCCTCCATGTGTAATTATATAATATATAAAAAGCCCACCCCAAAAAAATGAGGAACTTATATTCTATATACTTAGTTACCATAGTGAAAGGTCTACCAGTTCATTTATGTAAAACATAACATACTTTGACTCCTTTTTCATGCTAGAACACGTACGTTGCCACATATTGAAAATTATCGATTACACTTGAAAGGTATTTTTTGCGTTTCTGAAGACTGAAGCACATCCGTTCGATTTTAAATAGACCGCCAACACTAAAAACGTAAAACAATAAAATCGATAATGGTTCTCGTTTATATTTACCGGGCTCAATCGTACACATGTACCACCTAAGATGCCTCTGTTATACTCAGCTGTTACAAGAGCGTGATCGGATGAGAGATATCGATAAAATTGGGTTGGGTTGCGTCCCTGGGCTGTTGAGCTAAATATCACAATCCCCCTGAAACAATATGCATGCCGTTATATGGGCGATGACGTCGTTCCGTTGCTGACAAGCACAGCCGTCGACCGGCAACACGACCAAGGGTCGGCCTGTCAATTATCAGTATGGTTGTTGCGTCCTTAACAGAGAGATGTAAAAATCAATCACCTTGCCTTTTCTACCATTGATATGTACTAGGCAATTGGTCGATAGTATAAAACGCTTCCAGTGTGTCTGCCTGCCCGCATGATCAGGAAGCTGCCACCATCAGCAGCCCAAGCCCTGGCTTACACGATGAGTAGCTAAGTTTATGGGAACCAGATGTGAAGGCGAATAGCGTCAGCTGTGGGTCCATTCATGCTGCATTCTGCCTCCCTGTCCTCCAGGCCTTCCTCACAGCACACATGTGTGAGTTCCAACGCTAATTTCACTGGGATGTGTGCTCGTGTGTACTAAACTTTCATAATATATTTGTGCTTGATCTGGATGGAAATAGAAGCCTTAAACTGTATGTGTGTGCAAAGTCGACGAGTGATTTGAAGGTATGTTTGTCTGCGATATGTGTTACATAGCATAATGATGAACTGTTATTACTTAGTATAGAGAGCTCCCTGGTAACGGGAAGTGATCGGCATGATTAGCAGTCCCTTTGCTGCCATTATGAGACAGCCTCAGGGGATGCTGGAATGTTATGCTTGCAGCAAGCTGTAACTGCTGTGGCAGACGTCCCTATCGGTTGACGCTTGTGATGTACAGATATATCATAAACAGGGTTGCCTAATCTGGAGGGAACATTGACATGTTTCCAGAGTTTCTGTAGAAAGGTAAAACAAGTGAAACTACAGATGGTAATATAACCTAGTTTTTGTATTGTGGTTATAGTCTTAGTAAAAGCCGGTCGATACTCCGTAGCTGCACTACTGGTAAAGAGAAACATAGGCTGAATGCAAGCACTGGCATGTCGGATAGGTCAGGATTGATATATTATCTATATTTCAATTTTCCTGAATTAATTGTTTTTAATTTTCATTTGACTCTGGATATCAGACGTTAACTAGTGGCCTTATGTGCGACACCGTGAAAATATTATCAATCCATCCATCAAATTACTTGCTAACTATCTCATATTGTAGATTGCGACCCCTTCACTATGTAGTATACATGCTTAGTTCTTTAAACATTGCAATGCCTGTTGACACAAAAGGGACCGTTTAACACTTTAATTTATCGGTGCAAGACGCATCCCCGCCCTCGGGTAGATTCGGCCTTTATTATTGCTCAGCGTTGAGTTGACAGACACCCCATGCCACATATTGTCCACTGGAATTCGGTGACACTATTGTAATGACCCATATCCGGTCAGTGTCTTTGACCTCTGATGTTATTCATGACTGACCATAGCGAAGGGTTATTATGCTTTATTTCCCTTTCAGTGGTCATTCTTTTGAACCACGCTCATTGTCCGAAGACGTAATGTATACCAAGACTCACAAGGACATTACAATGGACTCGGTTTGTCATTGGCGACAGTGGATCTCTAACGTACAGTCAGGAGATGATGCGTTCTGTGTGGGCAGATTTGGTCCCCTTCATTGTACATAAAGTATACTAGCACTTCCCCATTGTGATAGATATACTGTCGAGTACATTTGAACACCTGCTACCAAGGTCGACAGTCATCCTTGTATTGGTACCTATACCTACTAAACCCGCATGTCTGAGGGAGAGACAATATCAGGCTAGAACAACAACGTTACAGTATAAATTTTAAAGTTAACTTACTAGCCGGAGTGTAAAGTACACGATACACAGAAATAATAATAATAAAGGTTTTAACCATTGACCACATTCAGGTCTACATCAAATTATAGCAATTGCGGATTCAGGACTAGAATTGTACGGGGTGGTGACCATGGGGTATACGGATATGAAAAACTTAGATGGGAAATGTTCACAATAAAGTAATTTTTATCAACTAATTAATATATAAACATCTATACTTAAACATTAGAATTAGCGTCTTACTAAGTTAAAATTGTCTTCAGCTTGTAACAAGTACGGAAATATTTGAGTGTTTTATAAATCTGCGCTATTATAAACACGGTAATATAACACTCAAGTTTGATAAATGAGTAGGTTACGCGGAAAATCTTTCTCGTTTTCCATGTTTTTCGAAATCGCGGAAACCAAGCAGAACATGTGTTAAAAAGACAAAAATATTTGCACCAAGGGGAGTAACGACATAAATTTATCAAGGCTGATATCCATGTAAAGTATTCGATCGCCTCCCTAATGCTGTAGGACTGGATTGCAATTTCTAGATATTCACTTGAAAGAGACCGTATAATTTGTAGTATAACCATCAAACGCTATCTCCCATATTTTGGTATTGACGTTTTCATCAAAACTGCACCACTGTTGATTACATCATGGAGATTTGAGATTGTACTTATTTTTTGAGATTGTTGCTTTACTACACGAACTACCGTATTTTGAATGAAGGAGGGTCGTCAGATATGTTATTTCCGGTTCTAATCGGTTCGTACCGGGATGCAAATGTATACGTAACAAGTCGTATTTGCCTGAAGTGTTAGTCTCGTTCAACCAGACTCTTATTGTCTGCGCAAATACGCCGAACAGAGAATTTTAAGTGATCAAGCGTCTGGTTGAACGAGACTACTGAAGTGTGTGATTGCATTTCCTTTGCGGATCTAGATGGAGTAGCTCTCGAAAACCGAAAAGCTAACAAACAAGACGTGTTTGAAATACTAATTGCAATTGCCAATACCATACGTGCGATAAATGTGTCACATGCATGTGGCGAATCCTCGTTCTTCTGGACTTTAACATCGGTTGTTAAGTTTTTCGAAATATTTTATGAAACCAAAATGATTGTTGTACTGAGGGTTACTACGTTTACAGTATATATCAGGATGGTATTATTCTCTTCACCTTATTTATGTTTGCTATCTTTTTTCATATATTCACAGTTGAGGTTATGTCCACAGAGACGATGACGTCACACGGATGTCATGACCCCATGTCGATGATGGGTATTCCCCACCCCGCAGTGATCGGGTTGCCTTACAACCAGGCGAGCATGGTACTAGCCGGCTACAGAGACTGCGCCGCCCAGGCCATCAGCTACCTTGTGGAGGTAGAGCACATGTCTATAGACGATCCATTTGTTGTTGGGTTGCGCAATCACCTCCAGGAATATCAAAAATCCCTGGATTTTGGACAACTTTTACGACATCAGTTTGACGTTACGATGACGTCAGCACCACAACACGAACATTCATTGGACGATTCTGGTATTTCGGAAAGTGACAACAGTATCGAACACACCCATTTGACATCATTACAGACTGCAGATATAACACAATTTGTGTCAAATGGGACTCAGGACAACCGAAGTATAGACATTGGAGACGGAGAGGCGTTGAACCTCCATGCTTTACAAAACAGTACCCCGGCGATTTCCGCTCTCGCTCAAGAACTTTTATACCTTCTAGAGGAGGAGGAAGCGGAAGTGATGTCAGAGTCTGAAACTGAGGAGGACGTTATAGAGCAATGAACATAGTTAGTGTGAGTGTTTGTGTGAGTGTAATACATAGAGTTTTAGTGAACAAAGAACCTGTCACCACTTATTTACATCGCGGCTACTGTGTGAAGATTTCTTATTGTGAGTGTTGATATTCATTCAAATATTCAGACATGTTTTATAAACATGTCTATGAATACATTTAGAGGGAAAGAGATGGAGAGAGATTGGCGTTGAATTCTAGAAAGTAGTCCTTCCTCGTCCAGTAGTTTTGGAGCGAGTCTTTCCAGCTTCTGATCTATAGGATTCCTGGAAGCGAAATTCATGTACCACATGCGCTACCCGTATGTAAACATTGGCTGATGCATGACCCGGATGATCCGGGGTCATCCTCTACTATCCAGGGTCCATTGGACTCCGCATACTTCCTTGTCAATCTTTCATCAGCATTGTCATTCCTTACCATCACTTTATTGTGTGGAGTGACAATTTTGGCTAGCTATTGACTCTGTTGTATGCTGTGTATTGTACCCTAGGTAACGGTATCGTAACCTATGCCTCATTCTTTGTTCAATCCAACGTCTAGCGGTAAACGTATATATATGATTTAAGATATGTCTCTGATAGCGCTCTATACTAGTACATGGTCTGTAGGCTGAATATTAATAACCAGTTCCTTTAGATTTCATCACAAAAAGTATTATTTATATTGAAATTGAAACAACGCATATGTACGTTGTATATCAATGCATATACGTGCTTCGTCTGAATCACATGACAGTCTGTTTCAAATTAGGAATAATGGAAAAAAAACTAGATATTGCAAGGAAAATGTCGATATTCACTTTCACTTAGAGCAGCTATGTGTACTTTTTATCATGCTATTTATCTATTTACATCCCGAGTGTGTTCAAAATAATATTTTCATGAAAATCGTGTTATGCTATACGTAAACTACCACTAATACCGGTAAATGATGGACTATCCTACACAGACAAAATGTTCACGTACATGTTCACAGTGACCGTTTTAATCACGTTCAGGACTGACATTGTGTAAAATTTAACTAATTATTTATTAATGGCTTAAATTTGCTTCGAAAGTAAATTAAGTTTAACGTATTTTCATTATATGGTGCTGTCTCCCTCATTTTTAATATAAACATTTGTTGTTTTTTGTGCATAATTAATTTATATTTAATCATTTTGTACATTTACCTTTTTGCTTAATGTCAGATGTCTTGGTCAGAATTGTATTCTCAGCTGGCATTTGGCTGATTCATAAGAATTATCAAGAAAATAAACTCTAGTTTTAAAAACTGATTTTCTGTGTGTGCTATTATTGGTATAGAAGTATTGGGTAATAGCAGCGAGAGCCCTTGTATGAACTGGACAGGTAAAAGCCCATAAATACCAGATTCGATAGCAATCACTTTTCGCTAAATAACACCATGGGTCAGACAATAACACCTGAGTTGTTTAATTTGCATACCGACAAAACCCCACTGCTCTGAAATGTCGTCGGTATACCGACAAAACCCCACTGCTCTGAAATGTCGTCAGTATACCGACAAAACACCACTGCTCTGAAATGAAACATTCATGGGACAAAATACCACTGTTTTGAAATGTCGTCAGTATACCGACAAAACACTGCTGCTATGAAATGGAACCATCCATATCGGGACAAAACCCCACTGCTCTGAAATGTCGTCGGTATACCGACAAAACCCCCCTGCTCTGAAATGTCGTCGGTATACCGACAAAACCCCACTGCTCTGAAATGTCGCCAGTATACCGACAAAACCCCCCTGCTCTGAAATGTCGTCGGTATACCGACAAAACCCCCCTGCTCTGAAATGAAACCATCCATATCGGGACAAAACACCACTGCTCTGAAATGTCGCCAGTATACCGACAAAACCCCACTGCTCTGGCATGTCGTCAGTATACCGACAAAACACTGATGCTCTGAAATGGAACCATCCATATCGGGACAAAACCCCACTGCTCTGAAATGTTGTCAGCATAACGACAAAACACCACTGCTCTGAAATGAAACCATCCATTTCGGGACAAAATACTACTGTTTTGAAATGTCGTCAGTATACAGACAAAACACTGCTGCTCTGAAATGGAACCATCCATATCGGGACAAAACACCACTGCTCTGAAATGAAACATTCATGGGACAAAATACTACTGTTTTGAAATGTCGTCAGTATACCGACAAAACACCACTGCTCTGAAATGAAACCATCCATATCGGGACAAAACACCACTGCTCTGAAATGAAACCATTCATATCGGGACAAAATACTACTGTTTTGAAATGTCGTCAGTATACCGACAAAACACTGCTGCTCTGAAATGTTACTAGTATCACATAAATGAAGGTTTCTCAAATAGAAATAACACCGAACTGCGTTGTGTGTTCAGTTTGAACTGAGGCTGATATGTCCTCAGACATTTATTACTGAGTTTAGTAAGCTGAACGGACGCTTCAAAATTGATCACGATGCTCATGTAGCTCATACAAAACAATATATTTGAAGATTCCTAGTCAACAAGCACACTGCCATTTGAAAAATTCATATAACCTAATGTTACATAAATAATAGATAAAAAACGCTTACAGTACATATTAAATGTTTCTCTACTACTTAATTTTGTACTTGTTGATGAGACGTTTGACAGTCCGGTTCTTAATCGTTCCAGCTGATAAATATATGTAATATAATAACTGATCAATAGAAATTCTGTAATCTGTTCTGAACCAGCGTCACATAATAGCTTTTGAACTGTATCGGTTTTAACTCAATATTGTTTATTAAATATCGCACGAATTCCTCAATTTACATTATGACAACGTTCTTCTGAAGACAGACATTTATTGAACAACGAGAATTGTGTGTGATTTTAAAATTCAAACTTTCTGAAAGCCTTAGATGTAATGATTCTATAAAGAGACGCCGACAGCAGTGCCTTGACACGATCAAAAATAGACCTGAACTTGGAAGGCGAGATAATTCTATTTTTCGAATGAGTGGAAGTAAATTTCACGCCTGCTGCAAACGTCTTAATAATGGCAAATATGACGCCTTCCTTATCCCGCGAGAGGCGATGTCTGGCCACGACAGCTGTCCAGCTTTTATCCAGACTAGGACGACGTGAGCATCTCAATTTGACACTAATCGGCAGGACAGTGGTCAACTTTGTGACGTAATGATGTCACGTGGCTGCAGAGCGGCGCACAGTGCTGGAATCTCACGATATCGAATGAATTAGGCTAAAATCAATTTGCAGTTGTTATAAATAACACAGAATAGACTCCTGTCGATTATAGAAATAATATTGGAGAATGGTCAGCAAACCGCCATCAGTTCCTGTAACTGGCAATCCAGTGTATCTGCATAATGACACCCTACAGCTGTCGAACTGCACTCTATTCTAAAGACTCCAAATCAATCGGCTACTCCAATCACAGGGGCACGCAACTACTATTAATATTGATCTTGTTAGACTTTCCATCGATGGGTATGTTACATTCCAATAATACGACCAGCGACTAAAAGTCTACCAATATCAATATACGGAGTGGCTATTGACACTCGGGCCATCAATATAAGTAGTTGAGTGCGTCTGTGCCCCATTAAGGATGTTTACCGAACCTACTAAAGCTCTTGCTAATGTGGGGGAAAAAAACAATCAACTCACGAAATTTATGACAATCAAAATAAATAAAGAAACAACCTTAAAGCAAGTTTTCTTATAAGGGACTTAAAGGAAATTCAAGTTCGTTCACATGTAATACGTCTATCGCCACGGACTAAGTTTTAATCTATTGTTACCGGCACACGCAAAGAATGAAGTAAGTTAGACTGATCAAGCGCTTAGATATTGTCATGCACAATACGTATAACTTGTACTGCTTCAGTTTTGACGCAAATTTTATCACAAAGCATACAAATCGATTTTCTTATTTGATCCAAAAACAATTCCAAATAATGTACTTTTATATATGACACTTTATTGAGTTGTTTGTGTTTTATCGTCCTAACTACATTGAGGTCACATGAATAAAAGTACCTAGTGACACCTAAAAGAAAAAGTAGTTAGGAAAGATATTTGGCCTAAATTATGTGATCAGTCAATATTATACAACATTTATATAGTTGCGAAAACTTCAGAAAATCCATTGAATACATATAATTAAAACCTTTAATGAATACACGGAAAGGCACTTCTATTTAAAATGGCATGAAACATATAATTAGAAATTCCAAGAAACGTGTAATAAATCATTAACTATAGAATATGTGTTATACGTCCTGTATTAGAATTATAGCCGACTTAAGTGTCGTACGGTGGATGCATACGGGTATATCAATAAAGCGGTGTTTTACATTGTAATTAATAAATAGATTAGCGTATTCAGTGTTGTTATTAAACAAAGCGTATTTTTGTCTAAGTGTGTGTTGATTGTCGATAAACAGTCATTCATGTTGATATTGAGTAAACAAAGTAGGCCTTGGTCCCACTTCTTTGTGAAAAGCAAAATCAATTTGTGCCGATTTCGAATACCTGGTAGATTCTAAAACTTGATAGGCTTACGATTGTCGGTTTCAGTCTGCTTTGAGCTGGAAAGGAATATTGGTCACACTTTTCCGCTGAAAACTGGAGACTCTTTGGAGGAAACAAAATGGCGCAGGTATCGTTACTGTTCCTGATCCTGACTGTGGTTATCGGATGTAAGTAATAACAATAACTTACTTTTGGACTTACGACATGTTTTCATTTAAAAAAAAAAAACATATGATTTCCTATCATGATGATAATAATCCAGTGAAAATATAAATAGAACATTTATGCAAAGACCCGATTAGCAACATTTTATACTTGGAAATATTTAAAGTAAAGGAATCATCAAAAACAATTTCTTTACAATGAAGCCATATTGTTTCCAAGCAATACGATTGTGCACACTAATCACTTCCATTCAAACGAATCTTGTCGATATGTGGTCATATTAATATTTTCGGTTAAATTTGCTTCAATGAGCCATTTCTTTTAACATCCGAAAAAGTACATGTGTGACGCGATATCACTCCTGTCTGTTTTCACGAAACCTTAGCTGAGGTGTTAAATAATTCAAATACTGATCACTGTTTTATGGTTTATGAATATCTTGATCACTGTTTTATGGTTTATGAATATTTTGCTCCTTCTTCACGACCTGAAATTTAAATAAATTCACCCACGAAGCAAAACAGGAAATGTCATTCTATCTTAACCCAAGAATTGGTACTTCATATGTTGTTTGTATGTTACCTCCATTACATGCCGATATCTGTCAGTTTTGGAATCGTCACACAATGCTACCTATCGGCAGCCATTACTTCTACCGTAAATTATGGATCTGCAATCGTTTAATTTTACCTTACTTTTTCAGTAACTTATTTTAGAACTGGTAATATAATTAAATAACATCAGTGTTTAAACGCGAGATACACAGCAAGAGATTAATCGATTAAAGCGGCTTAAGTGCCGCCATTGCTATTCTGATACTGCAAAGACTTTGTGGTGGAATATTAATTGATTATTTTTGAACATACAGAATTAAAGTAAAAGAATATGTAGGTTGCATTGTTATATAAGGAGTGTATTTCATGTGGTTGTTGTTTGCATTGGACTGATGAATGTAGGTGAGCTACAAACAAAAGCTTATATAACTGCCACACAACAACACATTTAACAATCGTTTGATGTAAAGTAGGTATGTTCTCGTTATGATAAAGCAGAATGGAAATGGTATCGATCTATATGAACTGCCACTCAAGATAAAAAAAAAATGAAAACAATATTTCATTGACTAGAAATCAAAAACATTTATGTGGATTTGTTGCGTAAAATGTTGAAAGGAATTAGAAACGCCCCTTAAACAACCAATAGGTGTGGGAGGAGACGCCTCCTCCAAGCACATAATATCATTGATTATATGTTGTATATTTTCGTGACTTGAAGCCATTTATTTAGATCGTTTCGTGATTTTTCCATATAAACAAAGAGTAGTCAAGTATATCAATTACATTTGTTGTATTTAATATCGTGGTTCCGTAGCCTCCACGAAAACCACTTATATTTTATACAACGAACCGTCATGCTATACAGTTTTGCTATGTCAGTGATAGAAAAACGTATGTCTGTCTGCAATATACAAATGCACATGTCTATTTATTAAGTATATTGTTGTTTTTTCATTTATAGTTGAGTGTGTTCTCAGTCAGATGAAGTCATGTGATTGCTCTTGTTCCAATCTGGAG